CCAGGGCTTTTCAGTTCCAGAGCTTATAATTCCAATCCAGAGGATGGATATGGACTGGGGTACCCCGATGCCCGAAGCTACCGCTCCATTCTTCATAGTCTTTCGCTCTGTGCCCCCCCCCCCCCCCCCCTCATGCAACGCATACATCACAAGGAAGCGTGAACTGACGGTCCGCCTCTCCGCCGCGAAATTCGCGCTGCGACGCTGCGAGGACAGCCCCCCACGGAGAGCCCAGGCGCAGGGACTTAAGTTGCAGGTTCAGGCCCTCGAGGCTGGCTTTCCTTGAGGGTGTTTCAAGCTGTTTGCCACAAAGTGGTGCCTTCTAGAAATAAAAGGGATGCGTCGTGCAACACGGCGCATTGCGACCAGGTGGCGAAGCTTCGGAAAGGCTGTCCTTTCTGCGAGCATTGCCAGCGTGAGGAACACCAAGACGAAAGTTCTGGACAGTGGGCTTGAGGAACTGTATTGTGCCTCGTGGCTTGACGCGGGTAGACGTAGCTTGATGGGGTTTGGGGGGGCCGTGACTCCACCGGAATTGGTGGGCAACGAAGAGGAGCCTCCTCTAGACATGGCCACCGGAAATTAGCATGCCGTGCCACTGTACATAGCTGGCGCAAGCCCAGAGGATGTACTCAGCCACACTCAAAGACCAATTATGAAGAAGTCCTGCGAATAAATGCAGTCACCGTGTAATGTCTGGTATTCTTACGTGCAGCTGGTGTTGCGCCGAACAACACGGGCTTCTTTGCCAGCATGCTAAATCCTGCCTACATCTTTAAACTGAGAAGATGGAAAAGAAACAATGCAAAGCACAATGAGACTCTGGTTCTAATCTGTGGAAACCGTGTGAGCACATCCCGGGCGTGGATGAGGAAGGGTGCGCGCCCTTCCCAAATGTCAGCGGGCTCTGGGATGCAAAATGAAGGACTCGGCAGGACGTAACGCGCTATACTAAGCAGCCGTGCAATCCTGCAAAGGACCCCACCCCCCTCTTCCCCTTCACGATTCAATTTTGCAGGAGCGTTCAGTCTAGTGCAGTCTTGCGCGGTCGCTGGGCTCCGTAGTCTTACGGCCTTCCCTGTTTCATGCCATTCGGAAGCCGCAGTTTTTTATTCTCAAAGAGACAGGTGCCTTGCGGCGTCGACCGTATACATGGGCATGAGCAATACGCATATGCAGTACACATCAGTACACCATAGCCATAGCACCAATGCGCCCTGGGGCCGAGAGCCCAAAGCGGATCCAAAAAGGGCCTTCACCTCCAGATTCTCACAATAGTACGTAGTACGGGCGATGCAAAACCGCAGGACATCCCAAAGCCTACGCAATCCTATACACCCGGTGTTCGACTTGTGCAAGCCTTCAAACCTGTTCTGTAAGCTCACTAAGCCTACCATCGCGTGCGCGTTGCATGGCGTCGTCTAGCCCACAGGACCACCGCGATGTGTGACGCAGGCTCTGCGCAGGCTTTAGGTGGCTAGGCAGCCGAAGAGGAAGTTGGCAGGCCACATGCGCCACATGCCTCCGCCACCTAGCATGGCCTTCTTAGCTGCTCGCCGCACTGTGCGCCCCCTAGGCCTTCCAAAGAACGCTCGCAACCCTCTTTGGTAGTTCCGGAGTCCCTTGCATCTTGTAGGAGGAGCCCGTGTCCCTCCGGCGGCTGCGCGAGTCTCTGTCGTCCTCTCCGCTATGGTTTTGGCTTGGCTTCAGTTTCCAATGCCTGGGCATTGAAGGGAAACTTGGTAATGCAGGGTCTCAGTAACTTGGGAGTGTATTTGGAAACGTGCTGGCACGAACATGCACGTAGAAGTATCAAGTTTTTCGGAACAGTTGCCCTTGTGGACTCATCCCCGTGCCCTCCCTAGCCCTCCCATAGTGGCGGGCCTCCAGGCCAGAAACGGAGAAGTAACGGAGTAACCCCGATTTCAAGCCCCAGAACAAGCAGACAGCCCACCGGGCAGTTTCAAGCTTGGCGAGCTCTGTAGCTGGATTGCCCTTTGGATAGCATCATCCGGGGTGCCAAGTCTTGGAAAGGGTCCTCGGATGAATGTCCGGCCCGTTTGCCACAGGAAGGGTGCTGGATTGAAAGCCCAAACTTTTGATTCCAAGGCCCTTAGCTTTTATTTCAGGGCCCCAGAAATGGAGGCTCAGAGCTCTTCGTGGAATGATTTGTGGAGGTGTGAGGAAGACGTTTCTCCGTGGTGGTGTCAGAAGTCCCACCATCGTCCACACCATCCACGCAGTCCACCCTTAGGCTTGAGAGAGTTTTGGGCGCACGAAATGTTGCGGTTTTTCTGCTATGGTAGTTTCGTCCGGCACGCGATCGTGGAAGTTTACAAGGCGCCTGGATACGTGCACCGGACTCCGTCAAGAGTCAAGGAGGTTGATCTTGCATTGCCAGGCACTTAGAACACCTGGAACGGCAACGCCAAACGTTCAGAGCTCGGAGATTTGCAGAAAGGTCGGTTTGTGGACAGGTTCACGGCCTTTCAGTGCCTTTCAGATTCAGGCTTCCTTCTAATCGAACCGGGCTTTATTACTGAATAGCCTCCCCGTCCCCTAAGGGAGGTGCTCCCAGAGAGGTGCTCTTAGTTTTCGCTGTCGGGCCCGTGGGGAAAGGTGCGACCTCAGCGATGCTCCGCAGCTAGCATCATGAGCATCAGCCGTTCCGTTGTCGGCCTGACCCCGAAGGCAATCATCAGAGTCATGGGGGCATCAGCACCCGACTGTCCCAAAGGAAACTCAGAAGCGAGCATTGGAATCATCACCATCGCTACCGGTCTGTCGTCATCAGCAGCAGCACCAGCACCAGCACCATCACCACAACCCTCATGCTCTCATGCTCGACAGCTTTTGCCAAATCCAGTTCTGTGGATTGAACCCTACCGTAACCCTACCCGAGAGTGTGTGCTCAAAGGTGCTATTTGAACTTGGCATCCACAATGGAAAGCAACATCCGCTTATGGTGTAGCTGGTTAGGATACTTGACCCAAGTCTAAGTGGTTGTCTGAGAAGGTCAGACAGACAGAAATAAACAGGAAGTTTCGAATTGAAAGCAGGATCCGCTATAGTCTAGCTTGGTTTTCGGATAGTAGTCAGGGACAACTTCCGCCAAATCAAATTCTGTGAGAACCAGCTGCATCTCTAACCAGGTGTATTTATTATTGTGGGTAGAGCGGCGTGGGGCAAGCATAGTACCACATAGTAGCTTGTTTCCCGCTTTGCTGCTTTGCGAGCATCCGCGAGGGGTTCTGTTTGCTCGTGCGGCACAGTGCGGTTGAGTGTGATGGAGGCTTTTGGGCCTGTGTTCAGGGCTGGCAGCTTGAGGTTTCGGGCTCTGCGCTCCCTCTGGGTTTGGTAGGATTGAGGGTTCGAGGCTTTGAGCTTACACTGCTGTGGGTTTTGGGTGTAAGGTTGTCAGGAGTTGCACTTCCGGGGGCTTGCACTCTGTTGGGCTTGGTGAGAGTGTGTTTAGCACTCGGGTACAGGCTTGGTTTGGGCTTCCTTTGGCAGGGTTTGCGCTCGGATACAGGCAGGTACCCGCAGTCCGAAACTGCGAAACCTTCCAAATCGATTTGGGGATTCATCGTGGCAGAGATGGCGTGCAACGTGAGGATCGATCTCAACATTTCTTGCGGCACCACTCAAATCCTGCTTTGAGTCCGATAAACAGGCAGGCTGGTGCCCCCGATCTATGCAGCAAGAGCAAAGTGAAGTGAAGTAAAGGCCACTGCCAACGACAACAGCTCGGAACCTGGAAACGAGTCAAAGCATGGAGAGCCTATGTTGTGCTACCAACCTGAACCACTCGCTGGCCTGCACTTAAGGCTGCGCGACCGCTTCGAGTCCTACCCGGGAGGCTACCAGTGCTGATGTACTCTCAACTTTGCGAGGTAACCTTTCTACTCGCCACTGTATCCCTAAATATCCTTAAATGTCTGAGCCAGAGAGGAAGCACGTCCCGGTAGTGGACAAGGGAACTCTGGAAGAGAGCAGTGGCTAGAAGCGGGACATTTGAAAGCATCTCTTGCTGCCTACTGCTTGTAGGTGCGTGCGCGGCAACGCGCTACGAAGGCCGCAGACCTAGCAAGTTCATGCACAGTTCCGGTGTAGACCCTGTGAGCCTCACCCATCCAATATGGCGAGGGCAGCAAGTTCTGATAGAATCACGAGCTGTGCTAAGTAGAGTCAAAAAACGTTTGGCGGGCCTTGTCACAGTGTCTCCACAGTTCCGCGTCTCCGCCCACAGCAGTTTCCGAGCCGATCACTCTCCAGACTCCAGACTTCAGCAATGCCCAGGGCCGGAGCGCAGCCTCCAGGGTCACCGATATCGCACGCAGCTCTCCCCACCAAGGATCCCCGCTGGGTCGTTGAGGGCTTGCTGGGGTTGAGCCTACGTGCTAGCACTGTCAGTGTCTCAGAAATACCCGTTGTGAATCGGCATGTATCTCCATCCAAGATGGCTGCAGCCCCAACCCTTGCAGGAGAAGGTCCGAGTCTCCACCGCCGCGTCGTGCCAAACCAAGCGGGTTGGTAAGGTGCTGTCATTAGGCCGTAGGCAGTTGCAGTTCTGTGGCAAAGCAGCGGCGTTGCCGAGTTTACATGCATTTGCGTCTTGTGCGCAAGACCCAACACTAGGGTGCAACCGATAGTCCAGTCATATCAGCCGTTGCACACTTTGCCCGCCGTTTCATGGCAAGCTTTGCGGCTCCTTGTGGAGACTTCACCACGCAGTCTCAGTAACTGGCAAGACAGCCTAAGAAGCAAAACCAATCCCGCACAGCAGCCTTCATCTGCCTTTTGTCAGTGAAACTTGCGGACACAACTTCAGGCTTTCAAGTATTCCAATGTTTTGGGTATGTGCATATGTATATAAACACACATAATGTGCAAACATGTGTTCCCCCTTTGCCATGTTAATCCACACCCACATCTACTTTCAGGTTTGACAGAGTATAGGGCAAGCTGCTGATTTCTGTGCCATCCGCCGGGCCACAACCATGGTGTGGCTCGGCCAAGACCAGACTGGGTTTCTGTAGCCCAAATACAACAGCTGCATCAAGAGGGATCGCGATGCTTTTTGGCTTCAATGCAATGCTCCTTCTTTCAGCTATTCGCAGAGTAGTAGACCAAGCTCCACATGCCCCTGCCATTCCGAATATCATTCTTCGAGTTTGACCTTTAGGTAACGGAATGCGGGAAGTGACAACAAAGTGCTCACATTGAGCTATGTCAACTATGCTCATCAGTTGGCGGCCACTGGCCTCAGAAAGGCTTAAGTCAGGTCAATGACGAACCAGGAGGCTGGGCATGGACTTAAGTTGGTGCGACGTCTCGGAGTCGTGGATGTGCTTGAATCAGGGCTCAGCATGTTGACACCAACATGCAACCCAAAATGCAGCTGTGTCTTTGATGGCCCTACATCCTCAATCAAGCTTTTGCCTCAAGCTCTTGCACATTCTTGGGCACAGCGCCCCCTTCTTCCCGAGAGACCGACCTAGGCAGACCACCTTCCTGGGCGGTATGGCCAACTCCAAATCATCCATCGCGTCTGGGTCCCGCGGCTGGCACGGTGGCGACGGAGGTCATAAGGAAGTTTAACTAGTGATGAAGCTGCATGCCGTTGAGGCTTGAGCTGCGGCTGAGGATTGTGGGTTCAGGGGATCAAGGGTCAATCAACTGACAGGTTGCCTGATCACCCTGAACCCCGCCTGAGTTACGGGCCACCAAATCTTCACTTCCGCTTCTGCGTTTAAGAGCCTCCAGCCCAAGCAGAGGAGACCTTTGGGGACTTCCGGGTCAAGATCCGTACAGATTCGTTTAGCGACAGGAAGGGCTAGCTTGAAGGCGGCAGCATGTACTTCCAACCATACCGCACGCCCTGAACTGGCAAGTGATGGTATGTTTCGCCTGTTGCCAAGGCCCGGGTCTTCGCACAGCCCAGGCCGCGCAAACTTCGTGCAAGAGGGAACTGAAGTACGGTGAGCGCTAGGGTCTGCTAGGGGGTGTCGAAGTTGTGTGCACTTGGTCGCTGTAGCGGTTGCTCCCTGCTAGGCATCGCCGCCGCGCACAAGAAGGCTCTGAAGGACAAGAAGTTCAACTCGAAGGAGCGGCCCTCACTAAACCTCCCCCCAAGCAGCAAACCGCCGATTTCCTTTGCCCTTTGGCCCAAAGGCCCTGGTCCTTTGCATTGCTTGTTCTAGTAGGCTGCCGTGCAGGACTTGGAGCATTTCTCCCACTTCCGATGGCGACATGGCCATGTAAAGCATGCTTCTGCTCAACCTTGATCCGGGCCAAGAGGCCTTCTTGGGCCAAACTTGAAACCCCGATCCGGGCCAAGACACCTCCTTAGGCCAAAATTGAAACCCTAACCCGGGCCAAAAGACCCTTCAAGAGACCCTCTTGGGCCAAACTTGAAACCCTGATCCGGGGCAAGAGACTTTCTTGGGCCGAGCTTGAAGGAACATTGTGGTGCATGTGGAATCCCGTAACAGCTTGTGAAACTGCATGGTTTATTGGCTCGGTGATTTCGCAGCTTTGCCAAGGCGACTCTACAGCTTGGTGATTTCAAGTTCGTGGGAGCTCTGGCCGCATCAGCTGCAGAGTTCAAGACTGATCCCGAAATCCCGCCGTTTTCCTTCACAAAGAACCTGCTGGCCGCAGTCCCAGCCTGACAGTAGTGCAGTAGGTATCGACGAAGGATCATGAGTCATGACACCCTCTAACCCCGACTATTGTTATTGGCCCTAAATTCTGACCCTTTGAAGATCGCTAGGAGATGCTGGTGAGTTTGACGATTTGTCTCAACTTCGTCATCATCATCTTTGAAGCCAACGCGGGCGTTGCCTGTGGCGATGATGTGATCGGTTCCTTGCCTTACTTAGAATATTCGGGTTGCCAGCATGTCCGTGCGATTCAGGGTTTTAGTTTGAGGGGCTGTGTGGGTTTGCACAGCTGCGGCGCTGTAGACTTCCCGAGCTGTGTATGAGCCCTGCTAAACCTGTCGGTCCTGAAAGTTCAGCAGAAGGAGATGCATAGCATCGCCCATCCTCAACCAGGTTGCATGCCCCAGTGGCTGAGCATCTGCAACTATGTCTTTGTTGGCTTCTACACGTTCGAGAGCTGTGCTGCTCGGCACGCGTCAGCCTCGTACTGCTGATTGGGGCGAGATTGAGTCAGAAGCCCAAGAGCAGGCATGCTTGAAAAGCTGGCCGGTCAGAGAATGAGAGAGAAGCAAGGCAAGAGACGTAGTGCATCGTAGTGCTGTTTCGGGTACGTATTGACACGCGACACTGAGATCATGCTCTTCGTGTACCGACGACGTATGTGTCGCGACTGGTGGATGGTTTTCGACATCGTGATCGCCACTTTCCTGGAGTTCATGTTCTGGATAATCCCCCGCTTGTTCTAGGCAATCACTCCCTCGACCGACCAGAATACTGACGCGCCTTTGACGTAAAGAGCAGCCCCAGCACGTTGAACCTTGCACCCCTGTGATTTGGGGCTGCGCTCCCTTGTTTTTCCAATCGCTTGTTATGTCTGCAACACGGCATGGGATATGCATGTCTAACCTGGAGAACACAAGGTGATCATAGCCTGGGTAGATGTGATCGTCAGCACACTGGTGACCACAGCCCCTTGGAAAGAGGAGATCGTCCCGACGTAGGGGATGCTTGGAAAGAGGAGCCTTCCGGACGTCGGGGATGCTTTCAAGATCCAAGATAGCTTCACGCCTGTACTGGCAGAAAAGACATGCACACTCAAATCCAAGTCGCTGCGTCTTCCAGCACAGCGCGGATATGAGAGATACAGTGCACATGCATGGTGGGAGAGCAAAGGCAGAAAATGCTCCGTTAGCAGTGCTTGTTCATTCTCCGACGCTTTCTTCTGCCCAAGCAACCTTTGGCAGCTTCGTCTCGTCGGCCCGACGACCCAAAGCCCAGAACTCCGGGCAAACACTCATGCCCAAACCTGCTCTATGACTATCTATAACTTAAACTAGGGTAGCGGAGGGGGAAATTCTGCGGTTCGTTCGCACAAGGCTGGGCTGCAGGAAGTTCAGCTCCTGCGGCTTTTTCGCATAGCGCGGCTGGCGCGGGCGGCAAGGACAAGCAAAGCGTGGACGAGAGAGGCTTCAAGTGTCCTTAGCCTTTTTCAAACCTTATGGCGGGAGGTAGGCAGAATTAGAATAACAGGTGGTGCGGGGGAAAACGATAAACAAACAGTAGAAGCACTGACACGCCTAACTGGCTGAAAACCCAGCAGCTTTTGTTTCTCGGCTTTCTGCACGCACACCCGCGCGCACACGCACACACGCACACGCACGCACGCACGCGCGCGCGCACGCGCGCGCGCACGCGCGCGCGCGCACGCAAACACGCAACGCAACCACGCAAACGCAACGCACGCATCACGCAACGCACGCACGCACGCACGCACGCACGCACGCACGCACGCACGCACGCACGCACGCACGCACGCACGCACGCACGCACGCACGCACGCACGCACGCACGCACGCACGCACGCAACGCACGCACGCACGCAACGCACGCACGCACGCACGCACGCACGCACGCACGCACGCACGCACGCACGCACGCACGCACGCACGCACACGCACGCACGCACGCACGCACGCACGCACGCACGCACGCACGCACGCACGCACGCACGCACGCACGCACGCACGCACGCACGCACGCACGCACGCACGCACGCACGCACGCACGCACGCACGCACGCACGCACGCACGCACGCACGCACGCACGCACGCACGCACGCACGCACGCACGCACGCACGCACGCACGCACGCACGCACGCACGCACGCCGCACGCACGCACGCACGCACGCACGCACGCACGCACGCACGCACGCACGCACGCACGCACGCACGCACGCACGCACGCACGCACGCACGCACGCACGCACGCACGCACGCACGCACGCACGCACGCACGCACGCACGCACGCACGCAACGCACGCCGCACGCACGCACGCACGCACGCACGCACGCACGCACGCACGCACGCACGCACGCACGCACGCACGCACGCACGCACGCACGCACGCACGCACGCACGCACGCACGCACGCACGCACGCACGCACGCACGCACGCACGCACACGCACGCACGCACGCACGCACGCACGCACGCACGCACGCACGCACGCACGCACGCACGCACGCACGCACGCACGCACGCACGCACGCACGCACGCACGCACGCACGCACGCACGCACGCACGCACGCACGCACGCACGCACGCACGCAACGCACGCACGCACGCACGCACGCACGCACGCACGCACGCACGCACGCACGCACGCACGCACGCACGCACGCACGCACGCACGCACGCACGCACGCACGCACGCACGCACGCACGCACGCACGCACGCACGCACGCACGCACGCACGCACGCACGCACGCACGCACGCACGCACGCACGCACGCACGCACGCACGCACGCACGCACGCACGCACGCGCACGCACGCACGCACGCACGCACGCAACGCACGCACGCACGCACGCACAAAGCACCAACCACCCACCCACCCACCCACCCAACCCACACCCACCCCCACACCACGCCACGCAACCCACCCACTCACCCAAACCACTGCACCCACCACCCACCCCCCCACCCACCACCCCCCCGCACCCACACCCCACACCAACCCCACCCACACCCACACCGCACACCCCCACCCACACCCCACACCCACACCCACACCCACCCCACACCCACACCCACACCCCACACCCCATCCCACACCCCACAACCCCACCCACACCCACACCCCACCCAACCCACACCCACACCCACACCACACCCACTACCCACACCCACACCCACACCCACACCCACAACCCACCCCACACCCCAACCCACACCCACACCCACACCCAACCCACACCCACACCCACACCCACACCCACAACCCACACCCCCACACCCCCACCCCAGCACAACCCCACACCACACACACAACACACACACAGTCACACACACACACACACACACACACACCACCCACACACACACACACACACACCACCCACACACACACACACACACACACACACACACACACACACACACACACACACACACACACACACACACACACACACACACACACACACGACAGTGGTCTCTTCCCACAAGTCGTGTTCAATATTGTTCCCAACAAGTACGTCACAATGCACCATGGAAGCACATGAGCCCCAGCACATTCCAAACAAACGCTGGCGTGACCTTTCTCCAGGCTTCGATTTCTTACCATCAACCTCAAGCTGCTACAAGCTGCCGCAGTAGCAACGCATTCAATGGACGATGCAGCATCGAGCCAGTTTATGCTTTGGAGCCCTGTGGCATGCCCACTTTTCCGGGGGCTGGCCTTTACACAACCTTTTCAGGACCAAAAAGCGATTTTTAGCATCAAGTAGACATTGTCCTAGGGAAGGAAGGGAAGGAGGGAGGAAGGAAGGAAAGGAGGAAGGAGCGGAAAAGTAGGAGGGAGGGAGGGAGGGAAGGAGGGAAGGAAGGAAGAAAGGAAGAAAGGAAGGAAGAAAGGAAAAAAGGAAGGACGAAAGGAGGGACGAAAGGAGGGACGAAAGGAAGCCCCAACCCCCCCCCTCCCCGGCGTTTTGTAGCGCTGGCAACCGCGTGTTAAAGCACTTTATGCCATTGAAAAGCACATGCTGCAAATTCTCGACGAATCTATGCCCTATGAAGCGTTCCGGTCATACGAGCATTGTGTTTGGAGTCCCACCCCATTCTAAAGCCGGGCAAGCTTGCAAGAACACGGAAAGGGTTCCCTGATCCTTGAACATTTTTTTGATCCTTGTTGGCTCAAAATATTTGTTGATCCTTCACCCACATTTCACGGGCTTCTTGCACCTAGATCCAGGAAGAGCACCAGAAGAGCGCAGGAACAGAATTCTTAAAAGGAAGCAAAGAATTCCCGCGCATGAGGTGTTGGAGGTGGTGGTTGGGTCTTGGGGGGATAAGCTGAGCTTGCTCGCGAGGATCGTCCACATGTCGCCGGAGCTCCATGCCATGGTCACAGGCATCATCAGCGCGCTGACGACGGTGTTCTGGGGGCCCCTTGGCGAAGCTGTTGGGGGGGGAAGATCCGGGGGGGTTCCTAAGCTGTTACCGGCTCCTTCTGCTGGGCAAGGGAATTGGGGCGCCTGAAGCATCTTGGGGGCCTTGGGGAGTTGTCCTTTGAGAGGTTTCGACTTGCTTTGGGCTTGGGGCCTGAAGCTGCATCCCCAAAGCCAAGACCTCAACCGAGCCTTGACTTGAGGCTGATCATGGTGATGCTGCTCCTGGCTGTTTGGGCCGTGCTGGCAGTGGAGCTGTTGCCACGTGAACCAAAACTCCCAGGGCCCACTCGGGGTGTTTTGGGGTGGCATTGAGTCAGGAAATCGAAGGGATGTGGTCTTCACCTGATCAAGCCCCCGACAAATCCGCTGACTTTTCGCAGAAGTCTGGTAGCTCTGCCGTTGAAACGGCTGCCCTTTTGGCCATGTGTTGCTGAAACAAGCGCAAAGTTTCAATGGCGCTCCAGTATTTTGCAAGCGCAGTTCTGCTACCGGAGATTTTTTGCAAGTGTAATTTGTCGGTTCAAGAACCTACAAGGACCTCCCTCGACAATTCGAAGCCCTGCATCCCGAACTCATACCCCTTAATGCCCGGAAGGCACAAATCAGAAAGGCCTCAAACTCTCCAAAACACCCCGCAAAGCTTACGCTCTTGCCTATCCGAGGCATGGGACTGCGCACAAAGTGCACTCCAACAACGACCTGTGTTTGTCGGTGGGGCAGGGGGCGGGCCGGGAATTTCACTGTTTCAATCTTCATTCAGTTCAAGCAGGGCTTTGCAGGCCAGTGGGCCATGTCCCCACCTTGAACCTTGAAGCCATCATGAAGCTTTGAAGGGTCGAGTTCTCCCCTTCACCCTGGACATCCGGAAGCCCTCACCCCAATTTGCTTCTACCCATTCTACTGGCCCAATACCCTAATACTTCCCGGAAGACCCTGGTGCTCTGCACTGCAGCCCTGTACAGTATGCAGGCCTTCGACTCGGTCTTCAGCATAATGCTCATGCGACCCGGTACTTAAGAGGAAGCCGACTTCGGATGACTTGGGTTCGAGGGCAAAGGCGGCATGTTTCAGGATGTTTCTGGGTGGTCGCAAATTTAGGTCGCAAATAAAAAATGCATAAAAATGCCCCGCGTGCGCAATACACCGCGCCCTCGCTCCATCGGCGTAACAGCGCATCAGCCGCAGATAATTACGACCCTCCCTGCACCCGCACCGATACACCGGTGCCCTTCCGCACCAATACACTAGACTATGACACTATGGAAGGATGTTTGTAGATCGCTTTACATCCATGGTGACACCACATGCGGCTTGAGTAGTGAGAGGGAAGACTGGGCCTCAGTGTAGCATGTCACTGTAGTCGGTTCTCATCGCAGCTTTCCAGTACAGCTTTTTTTCCATGTCAAGGGCATGATGCCGCTGATGCCTTCCACTTGAACTCGCTTGGACCCTTCAGGGACGGGGCGCTTGAGTCTAGCATGTTTTCTGGTTGATATGTTCCCCCTTCTTATGACTAAAAAAGTCAATGGATCAAGACGACCTGACCTACCTGACCTGCCGCAAAGCGCGAACCTCTCTTGCCGTGGAACAAACAAGCACCGATACACTGCCCGGATCGATGCAGAGCGTGATTCCCTTCCGCGGGCCCCACGGGGCCCCACGGAGCGGCCTGACCCTTACAGATTTCTGAATCCGTCAGTGATGGTGCGGAGAGGGACGGGCGTATCGGCGTATTTCCCCTCCACGGCGTGTGCCAGTGCATTTCCCTTTCGCGGGTGCATCGGTGCATCGGCGTATCACCGCGAGTACCGTGGGGGAGGTGCGGCGTATCGGCGTAAGGCGATGTTTACGACACGATTTCCGACCACACAGGTTGATAATGCTGACGAAAATATGGTTGAGGACCGACGGATGTCTGTAGAGAGTTGGCGTGTTGGGATTTAGAATGATTTAGAGATGTAGGGCATAAAGAGTAAGACATGTGCATCACCTTGGCGCCGAGGTTCTTTCAGACCCTTATGGCCGGTGACAGCTGGGGAGATTGCGCGGTGCCGATGATTCAGGAAAGCGGGTTCTTCAGCTTTTGCACTTTGGGCTTCGCTGGGAATATCTGGGAAATCGGAACGGCTGCCCACTACTTCTTAAACTGGAGAGTATTCCCGAATCGTCAACGGATTTTTTGACAGGGCGTTTGGATTACGACGTGGAAATAAGGGTATTTCGGGGAGTTGTGCTGAACGGATGACTCCCAAAGTTTGCTGTTTGGCTCGTGAAGAGTTGTGACACTGGCTGCAGTGGTGTTTTTCATTGCCCCCTGCATTCCTTTAGATGCGAACCCTGGCATGTCCCCGACCGTCGGATGTTGGCATTCAGCCTGGGCTCGACATTGAAGGGGCCCTCTTTATATCTTCGGTGCAGATGTCATTTCTTCTTGGCTTCTAAAGTCTTGCGGGCCCACTTTCTTTTCTTTTTTCTGGGGATCATAGCTCTTCTTTGTGGCCTGCGTCGTCACCGCGCTGCTATCCCCGAATCCTGAAAGCCCCTTGCCATCCCTTGCCTAAAACTCGAACTCATAATCCACCCCTTGCCCCAGGAGATGCCATGGTCCATCGTCATCTTCGGTGGTTGCGGGGCCTTTGTTTCATGGGCCCTCTCCCGGGCACGAGCTACAAGGGTTTACAAGGGTGTTTTTGCCTCGGTTTGTTCGCAAAGTGAAGATGGTTTGCGACAGTGCGTTGAGTTGGCAGCGACCCCACCAGGGTCAGGGCTTGTTTCGTGCGCCATGGGGAGCATCCGACTCTCACGTTTCACTGCCACCCATCATCTCCCATCTATTCTGTGGCTTCCGTGCCTCGCAGTTCACACATGCTCACACTAAAAAGCATGTGAGGCTTACGTTGCTGCTGTATCAGGGAAAGCCCTCCTTTGAACGCCGATCCCTATGCTCGAAAAAGCACTTACAAGCTCCGATGGCAAAGGTTCCTTGCTGACAGTCCAGCTTGGTTTTGCAAATCTCGTGCTCGCCGTGATCGTGGAGCGCGCGCGGCAGGCATGGCTGCCGCAAGCCTAGGCTGTTATCTTTGAAGTGCTTTAGAGTGATGACGCTGCGCAACACCAAAGCACAGGAGCCTTGCGCAAGTGCGCTCCTTAGGGCAGGAAAAGAACCTTGACTCGCTCTGCGCTGCGGTTTCGTCGTCACGTTGCGCTAGCTGCTTCCTCATGCAGCCATCGCTTGTGAGTTGTGAAGACTGCGTATGATTGTTTATGCGGACTACACGTGGTGACTGCATGAGCATCCTTTTGAGGAATGGGCACTTCTCCCCGCATCGCATGCATATTCCTGGTGCTTGCAGCTGCTAGCAAGCATGACAACCTTCCGATGGGCGTCATATCCCTGTATCAAGACACTGCACGGAGTTCCTTGATGTTCAAGGAACTGTGTACACGCTTCGTCAGAATTCGTCAGAGGCGCACGAGGAGGAGCAGCGGCAGAACCTGAATGAGCAGCGAGGGCCCCAGCGCAGCGACCACAAGAGCCGCCCTAATGTCCCAACATGTCCCAACCTTCGACTCTGCTTGAAGAGGCTGCTTCTGGGTTGGTTGTGGTTGTCACACCCAGTTTTAAGGGTCCTCAGCTGTCCTGGAGTCTGGATTTCCACCAAAGGGGGAACCGCACGAATCCTGCTCCTGGCCCAAGGGTGAAGAAGCGGCGTGATGCAGAGAAGAGACTTCTGGAGATGTGTAAGGCCATTGATGTGGATCAGGATGGATTCTTTCCCGCACTGCTACTTTTGCTGTTGATTCCAGGGCAACATTTTTGGTACATGCAACCAGCAACCAATCTTCTTAGCGGCCCTAGTGTTAGCGTCTCAGGAGGGGGTGGTGCCGCAGTCGCTGAGATCATGTCGATTCACCTGTCGTGAAATTTGGTTAACCTCACAAACGATGCCAATCCTCGGCTCCCCCAATCCCACAGCAGCACAGTCGACTTGGCCAAGCCATAACGCCACACGGCCTCAAGCAGAGTACTCAAATGTCTTGCGGATCAGGCGTGTAGCAGTGTAGCGGATGTGTAACGGCATTGAATCGCCATCCTGACGCAGAATTCGCCCAGGAATTCTAACGCTCGAGGAGCTCATGGACGCCTATGAAAGCAACGAGGAGTCCCGCTGTGCATTTCCGCAGCGTTGCCCTCCTTTATGGTTTGGGGCCATTAGCCTCCTCATGTTGACTGGCATGACTTCCCAGATTGAGGGTTTTAGGGACTTCCTGCTCGGGCGTGCTGTCATGATTCTCGGGTTGCGAGCCTTTAGCATGCTGCAAGCGCAGGGCTCATATTGAAGGATTTCCGGAAGACGCTGACGCTCTTAGAGATCGACGAGACGGACCTCATTTGCCTATTCGAGGCTCAGCTTGCGAACGGAGGAACGGAACTTGCAGTTCGACATATTTGTTTACTTTGTGACATGATAAAAGCATCACGGACATAAAGATGCACATGCAGGTTCAAGAGGGGGGAGTGTCGTTGAGCAGCCCAGAATGCCAACCCCAGACGTGAGAAGGCAGTGTGTTGACAGAGCTGCGTTCGATTCTTACGATGTGGGCAGACATGCATTTCCAGCACCCTGCAGCTCATCTGAGGATTTGATGGATGCAGATAGGTCCGGCGATCTTACCTACGAGGAGCGGGTGCCTCAAAAGCCCAATGCTGAAATTGCTGAACCCTCCAGCAACGTGTGCGGCTTCGATGCAGACAAGACTGCAGCCCGACTTCAAGCGGTAAGGCAGGGCAAGTCCTTCTTCAGAAATGCTGAAGACAACTCTGCATTGAATCGCTTGAGACTTGTTGGAAAAGCGGCGCAGTTTGCTGCTTTTCCACCTGCCCCGAAGCCGTGCGTTTACTTCATTCGATTATCAGCTGCGCCTCGTTTATCCATGCAGCAGACTTCACACCGTTAGTACATACTGGGCCACGGAAGCGTTTCTAACACTATGTAGTATGTAGCATGAAATTAACTTGTGCCGATGGGCTTGAGGCACGGTAATATGCTGTATGATTCTTCTGAAGGTGCTGTCGGTGCAGTTAGCATGGTCGGTTTGCATCAGTTGCTACCCAGACGAGCCCCCCCCAAATCCCCCAGATCCGAGCCAGGAGATGATCAGCTGCATTCACAAGTCGGAGACTAACGACTTGAAGCGTCAGATGATGATGGTCAAGCTCCAGGCCGGTCGGGTACAGGGAAAAGGGCTTGTGGCGGCTTTTGGATACACGCAGGGTTCTATGTCTATGCGACCGTCATGAACGGTTTCTCATTCGCTCTACAGATTGTAGCAATTGCTCAATGGCACCCTGGACATGACCAATTGATGACACTTCCCTGCATCTTCGATGGCAGGTGCAGGATATTTGGCTAAGAATTCGTGACACTTTCCTCACTGCTCAAGAGAACATCATCACGGAATTCAAGGGCGAGGCAACGGGGCGGAGCCCAGGATGTGCTAAGCACCGGTTGATGTGGCTTGGGCTTGTGGGAAATGCTGTGTCCATATGTTCCGGGTTACAACAAATTTGCTGTCCCGGCCCGAACGTGTGTCCCCGACAACATGAACCGACCTTTTTTTGGTTCTCACTGGCCTCGGACTGCATCACAGCATGTCGCTACCATCTAGAGCTGAGTGGACCCATGTTCAGGTACAACCCACTGCTTGTGAGGGCACCGAATTCCGGAAGGAGGTATAGTCCCACGCAGCGTGGAAATCCTCGCCCAGAATCTGCAATGCATCCCACACCTGCACTTCAGCATACCTCAGCCTGCCCTGCAGTCGTCGAAGCCTTCGCTCTTCGACGCCCGAACATACCTCATCAGAAAGCTGACGGGCGAAAACGCGACGAGGCCAGGGGTTCTCTGAGTCGCGGGACAATCTGCGCGTAGGTAGACAGGTAGACACTGCAATTCATTGAGGCGCATGGCCCTGAGATGCCCTGAGGAGCTCTTAAAAGACTCTGCTCGTTGAGCCTCACGCCATGCCCCCAAAAGCCCAGAGTCCGAAACCAGCACAACTGGGTTCTACGTCTTGTACCTCGATCCGATGCAACGACTCCCTGACCATTCCGAACTCCACCAACTGCCCAATCCTGCCAGTTTGATGCGCCGGACGCGCACCATGCAGTCACGCCTCAGCGAGGCCCACGAACGGGCACAGGCAGGTTCCCGTTGGCACGACGGCACTTGCATTGCTTGCATTGCAGTCTAAGCCCGAAGCCCCCAAGTCCTGACAACGCAAGCTTCGCTCCGAAGTGGAGAGTGAATACATGTGAATACTCCTAAGGCCTAAGGCCTCAAGCAAAAAGAGAGCACCTCCGACTCTCGTGATGTCCCGTGCCATCCATGCCGCAGTCGATGCGCGCAGCGTCTATGGCCTCCCTTGCCGCCACCACGCAGCAAATGCAGATCGCGGAGAGTCAGACCGAGCCTGGGCATCAATTTCCACTGAGGGCTTTGGGAATTCCGGGCTGTGGTGCCTTGGTTTTCAAGCATTTGAGGTCAACTAGCTAACTAGCTCTTGTTTTTTTCCCGAAACGCTGTGATGGGGTTGCAACTAAGGAGGGTTCGATTGAGTTGTGCGCTTGTTTGGATCCAAAGCGCCCCGTGCAGGCGCTGTCCCGTCCTGTCCGCGGATTGCAGGCGTTTCAGTTTTCATCACAGTATACAAGGCTGCCCCAGTCCCGGGCTCTTCTCACACTTTTCACACTTCAAGCTTTCGGTGTTGTCAAAAAGTTGCAAGGACACAATTTCCTTTGTGTCGGATGCTTTGCTTCGTTCGTCCGTGAAAGGGGCGTACATGTTGTGGCACCTAGCAGTGTTCGAAAACGCCCGCCGTTCGGTTGATGTGGAACTGTCATGAGCTGTGGCAGATTGTGGCAGTGGTTTTACACTGTTTGGGGTCTACACTGGCATAGCAGTGAGAAGCAGTCGCTGGGTCTACAGGGCGGATCCTGACTCAGGTTTGGGACTCGGGGCTGAACTTGAGCACCGTAGAGTAAGCAGGACCCATTTGCGGTTGCAACTCCCCAAGATTCTCCAATAGCTTCACTAGGCCTGACCGAACAGGTTCAGGGGAAGAGAGTTTGTGGCGATCTACAGTCCTAAACTTCGCAACATCGGGCCCCCGAGAGCGGCAGCGATAAGTCGTACTTCTAGTCGATCGACTTGCCTGGAAGGGTCATACAAGAGAAACGCTGTTTTTTGAGGTTAATTTGTGAGCGCAACCGTGAGTTGGTGGGTGCATGCGCTGCAAGCGAGCCAAGGAAGCTGGCACAGAGTTGTCTGCCCCAGTTTTCGCGATCAGGCATGGGTTCAGGGTTTCAGGATTACATGGTAGGCTTGGGGCTTTGCTTGGGGCTCCCCATGTTGCCACAGATGTCTTCACAGATTTTTGAAGTTTCCCAGATCAGAGACAGAGAGCCTCCTTGCAAGACACATCGTGACACATCAAGACACCGTTTAAGATCGAGAGACCCGGGAGGGAGCCCTGAGAGGGAACCCATTTGCGGGAGGACAGCTTGGGTTGCCTTGGGTTTTTTTTACCTCAAGACCAAAGTACACAAGGTCTGGAAGATAGGATCAGACTGGATGCAGTACTGCAGGTATTTCTGATTTTGGGGCCATGGTAGGGGCTTGGAGTTTTGAATCTTCATTGGGACAGAGGAACATTGACTGTCGAGCTGCTGTTGCTGCGCCGTTGCTTCCAGCTACGTGATAACCTCTCCGGGCAACCGGCCATGACAAGTGCTGCTGCTGCTGCAGGGAAGCCGGCTGCAGAGAAGCTTTGCAAGCGTGTCGACCTGAACTCTTGCCATGGGAACGAACGGAGCGCATTTGAAGAAGGGCACGCGGCTGCTCGTGAAGGTGGAGAACCCATGGGTGCAAGCCTTCGAAAGCCGTGTTGCTCCAAATCATACACAATCTCTGCGCGCGCGCGCGCGCTCCTTTGCAGCACCTGCATAGATCCATGGGCTACTCTGATCTTGCGGATGGGTTTCCAGGAGCCTCTTTGCATGAGAGCTGCAGCGGCGTTTTTTGCCCTCGTTGGCCATCACCGTGATGTCTATTCCGTATTTTCGGTCTGGAGTTGTAAGATTTTAAACTTAACTCTTTTCCTCGCGCGGTCTACCCACAGAATCCGGAGTGCCCCATCCCAGAGAATGTCCAGAGAAATCCTGGAGTGCCCAGCCCAAGAGTCTCCCCAGAGTGCCCCACTGTAGAGTTTTTTCAAGGAACCCCTGAAGGGCCCAGCCCCAAGAGTATTGTCAGAGAATCCCCTGCAGTGCCCAACCCCAGAGTATCCTGGGAGTGCCCAAGCCCAAAGTGGGCCTGGCAAATTCCTTACGTGCAGGGTGGGGATGTTCGAAGTAAACTTATTTGTTGCAATGGTGCGGTCCGCGGGTCAAGCATGACCACCTCTTCAATTGTTTCAAGAGCTGCCTCTGCTTGGGTTTGGACCGGTTTGGACATACTCCACGTCAGGAGACCACGTCAGGACATTGCTTGCCCGTCCTTGTACCGAGACGCACCTTAAAAGAGCAGCACTACGGTCATGGGAGACATAGGCTTGAGAGTTGCTCGGGTGAAGATAAACATGTAAAGCTTTTCAGAGAGACATGTGGGCCCATGTGGGTCACTGGTAATCACTGTACAGTGTGGCTTCCCTGTTCCCGCAATTCTCTTTGCAAATTCTCTGCTTCCTCTGTGCTCTGCAGGCAGCTCCGACACCACATCAATGCCGAGCTCCAAAGGCCCAGCCCCAACCTCTGAGCACAAGATGAATGACATCATATCTCATTCATGTCTCACATGACTCCCGGAACCATCTCTCAAGTCATGTGCCAGAAAGCAGTTCACAAGCAGGGCGCACGCCATCTTTCGACGTCCCCAGCATTTAGAAATCAGCAGCAAAGCTTGAACGGAGAGCCTGTGGGCTGTGCGGGCAACTCGCCCTGTCAGCCTCTTGACATTGTCAAGTTGTGTCGGATGGTGCTCGGCCGGTCATTTGTACCAAGCCGGGTCCTTTGCCTAATTATCCCTAGGCCTGCTTAGACGGATTCTGAACCTGACAGCATGCGTTTCGTATGTCCAATCTTCGGATTTTCCTCCAAAAGCAGGCCTCCAGGCCAGCGTCTGTAGAATCTATGTAGAGCCTTCAAGAAGTTCTTAAACCGAAGTACCGCAACCTCCGGAGGACACAGAATTGGATCGACTTTGAAGTGCAGAGGCTCCGATTTTGGAGGGCTACAGGTTTCGGAACCAGTCTTGCTACTGAAGAGCGTTGAACACCTCAAGCCACGCCAAGAGTTCACGCCGCAACCCGACATGCCAGCAGAACAATATGGCAATATGGCAGCTGATAGGTTCATGGACAAGCTCACAATGCAATGCATGGGGGGGGGGGGGGGGGCAGTCAAGAGACGCCCCTCAAGATGACTGCTGCTAAGCTGCCATTGTGTGCAAGAAGAGCCTTTGAAGAGAGTTCCCAAAGCTGCCGGAGAGTCGAAGCTCGCGTGAATAGGAAGAGTCGCAGGTTCATCACCAAGCAGTGGCCGAGCCCTGAGCCGGACAAGGAAGTTGCAGCCAAGGACGTCCAGGGCGTTTGGGAGGTTTTGGAAGCTTCAAGAGCTTCAAGGAAAGAAGGACTTATGCCCTAAAATGGGGCTCGAGCCCAAGTTCAATTCGTTAAGTCCCGTTTGTTCATTTCTTTTGCTGAGCCGGCAGGCTTGACTTGGCCCGGTTTACTTCCTGCTTGGGCTTGGCTAGATCATTCTGTTCGCGAATGGGTGGGGCCCTCAACCCCAATTTCAAATCAGAGATGGGCTCCTCATCCTTGGACTCTGTTTGAAATGGAGTGACCACCCCCCTCTCCCGCGTCGCATGCTGTTGAGAGCCCCCCCGCCCCCCTTTCCTGGCCCCTAGTCGTGCAAAGCATCGCTCACAAAGCAGCCCTTACCATCAAAACAAAACCCTGAACTCCCTGAACTCCTGAAGGCCTTGATTGCCGCTTCGCCATGCAAGGACGGTGCAGCGAAAGAAGCGAACGCCAAAGATGGGATAGGGCGCGTTGGACACACTGCAGCTCCCGGACCTCTAAGCATCCTGGCCACCCTATGTTCCGCCACCGCCTGCCCCGAGACAGAGAGACAGAGATAGAGAGAGAGAGAGAGAGAGATGGAGAGAGAGATAGAGAGAGAGAGAGAGAGAGAGAGTGTGTGGAAGCGCAGCGTGACGAGGAGTGGAGCAGGACGCTGCCGGGCCACACAGACTGGGCGGATGCATTTTCTTCTGAAGAATCTGAAGACGCCACCGAAATGTGGATTCCCGATCCATGTGGCGCAATCGGCGGGCGCTGAAGAAACAGGGATTCAGCGAGAAGAACCCACCTGTCGTCGGCGTCGGCGCTCCGATGCTGATGGCCAAACCCACCAACCCACCAAGCGGACCGCGGGCAAGGTTTAGCTACGACCGGAACGAACCACTTGGCCGTCGTGGCCGGGCTCCCTCTGCGTGAGGAGTCATTCAATTCAAGTGCGCAGAAGAAGAAGAAATGAAAAAGAAGAATAAGAATAAGAAGAATAAGAAGAAGAAGAAGAAGAAGAAGAAGAAGAAGAAGAAGAAGAAGAAGAAGAAGAAGAAGAAGAAGAAGACGAGAGTGACACTTTCTTCGTCTCCCAGTAAGGCCAAACATCTTGCTCAGGCCTCGTACCGTCACTCGAACTAGGCAAAAGCCCCTGAACCAACTTCACAGTTTAGGATCTTTAGGACCTTAGGACTCCTCAAGCCTTGGAGAATGGGCCCAAAAACCCAGGAATGGATGGGACAAGTTCGACGAAGGCGTCACCGCGGGGGTCACCGCGGGTGTCGCCTCGGGTGTCGCCGCAGGTGTCGCCGCAGGTGTCGCCGCGTGTGTCGCCGCGAACTGGCGCACGTCCCACAACTCCAACACGGAAGGAGGCGCGTGCGACGAGATGTCGGGAGCCTTGCACGACGTGGATCAAGAATCCATAGTTCACGAGCTAAGCATAGTTCAAGAGCAGGCCGAATTTGTAAGGATCAAGGGCGACATGACCCCGGCATGGACAAAGGGCATGCTCCGTGCAGAGACGTGCAGGCTACATATAGTTAATCGTCGACTTGTTTGCAGGTGACCATCAACCCACCCAGAGATGCCCAGAACTGGCAAAATGCGCAAAACCAGTCCCTTGCTGGCAGCGATGGGCAGAAGTTGGCAACTGTTTGCGTGGGATTAGGGGCGCAACTTAGGCTGACCTTACGAATCCTAGGTGCCACGTGGCGCCACTTCACCTGTTAGGGGTCGTGTGTGCTTTAACTCCTGTGCTTCCAGATTTGTCTGCAGCAAGAGGCTTGCTCCCACTTCGTCGAATCTGGCTTGGGCAAAAGTTCAGCGTCTTGCTCTGACGGACATACCTTCCCCCGCCCACCCCAGCCCCGAACTGTGACACTACATGTTGAACTTTTGATCCTCGAATCCGGCGTGCCAGGGCTTTGGACCTCAAACACAGAGCCTTTCACCTCAACTTCCTACACCTATCTAAGTAACTGCAAGACGTTTCCTGTAAGCACCCATTTTGAAAAATCCGAGAGGAGATCACGACATGCCACCCTCACAAGCCTGGCGCTTGCGACATAAGGTGGGGCGTCCATGACGGAGAGGACGCGTCGATTTCGACAAACCCTCGAACACCCAGCAGCACCGGCTCTGATTGTCAAGGGAAGATCTCAGGCACTTCTCGCACATTGCCCGCACGTTGCCTGCATATTGCCCCACACTTCGATTGCTGGCTGCACAGTTGTGCTACCGAACCCTGACGTCATCAAACCCTAAACCCGTCTGAGGCTTAGCCTGGCTGAAAGTCCTGAGAACCACAAAGCGCCAGAACACTTCAGAACACTTCAGAACACTTCAGAACACTTCATGGTAACTGATAGTGTGTGTAAGGGGGGGGGCGCCCTCAAGTCCTGAGTGGGCTACAAAAGCGATGCATCCCCATCTCTGTCTGGGCCCAACCGCGCAGAACCTTAACAAAATAGTGCTGGAGGCACACGACCTGAGTATGTAACGCACCTGGCAAATTGCTGGGGACAACCCTGCATTGGCCCAATCATCTGGGCAAGGCAGGAAGAGCATGCGAAAAGAAACCCCCCGAGTCCCTAGCAAGCAGCATTCATTCCACACCGATTTTTGGTGTCTCAATGCCTGTCTCCACAATGTTCCCTTGACATGATCTGGCTTCTGCATGTGTCGACATGCTTGCAATGCTTTGCGCCGCTCTGCATCGGCCAGGTCGTGTGTCAAGTCGTCGATGATGGTCAGTGCTTTGGCTGCTTCTTCCTGCGACCCTAGTATGAATCACCTGTGCTTCTTAGGGGGCAAGAAAACTTAGATCTTCAACGTTATAGATTCTGAAGCAACGATTCACCAATTTTTCATGTCAGATTCATGTCGTTTAGCCCTTGGTCAGCTTTGTAGCGGAGTCTCTGTTCTTTCACTTCTAGACTTGCATGGGTTCCAAGAAGTTGTGTGTTTCGCGTTGTGATTTTCTAAGCCTTTCGTGGCGTTTGTGGCATGCCTTGCTTGCTTCCTGACCATTCGGCGAGGCATGTTTTCGATAGCTCGTGCGCACAATCCGGCGACTGTGGGCTTTCATAGCCAGAAGTTCTAAGAACCGTCTGTGAGTCCGCACACAGTAGGGCCACACAGAACCTGAGAGAATCGGAGCACCCCTTCCCAAACCTGAGGCACATGGAACTTCTACGGCAGCGAGACCGAGACCTGCAGTGGTCGGGCGTAAGGTTCCGTGGCCCAGCAGGTTCATGGGCTGCTGAAAGGTGGGGACACGGGCTCCATAAGATTCCGTCAGATCTTCGGAATCTTCGGCCTTGATCAGACTTGCGAAACGCAGGTCCTCAAAGGCTCACATTCTGGTCACCCAGACCCTCCGGGGCCATGGGTCCACCCTGGTTTGGATTTTTCAATTTCCAAAGATTTCCCAGACGGGCGGTACCTGGACAAATCGGTTGTCTAGAAAGGATCCTCAACCATAAGCCCTGTTGGTCTTTTCAATGCGATGTAGAGATGCAACACCTCCGGACAGCAGGGGGCGGAGGTATACAGTTGGTCCTATTGGTGCAGGTTTAAGGGTTGGGCTTATACAGGCTTTTAGGGAGGTTGATTTGGACACGGTGAATGCTGAAGGCTCGAGGGTTGACTATGCCTCAAGAGAGCCTAGGGCTGGGCATCAGAAGTGATGCAGGCTTCCAGTGTACCGCCCACTAGCACCAGGTGCACGCAGAAAACTCTGCAGCTGAGATGGAACACCACAACACTGGGCCTGATGAGGGGTAGTCTCTATTGTGGGCGGAGTTTACGGGACAGGTTGTTGGGAATACTCGTCCTTGTACCAAAGCTTCCATGCTTTCCAGTTAGGCTGGATGAACGTGGACATTTGTACGGGCAACAAAGGGCGGGCCAACCAAGACGCACGCATTCCACAGTGGGGCCAACTTTGCGAGTCACTGTGCTACCCTTCTCACCGGTGCGTCGGCGTTTTTCCCCCTATACCGGGCTGCAGTGCGCCTTTTTCGCGCATGATTGCTGGACCAGCGGGATTCGGGTCAGGATGAATGACTGTAACAACCTGAACACGGGAAGCTACTAACCCGGAAATCCCACCCCCCCCAAACAGCTGAAGACCTTCATGCTACCCAAACCCACGCACCTTCCTATCGCAAGCCTCACAGCGTTTGAAATTGTTGGTTTCTCGTGTCCAAACGGGCCACCTCGATCCGACTCCCTGGATTCGCGAGTTCCTTCAGTGTGTCGGCCCCGAGGTCCGCGGTTCATTCAGGAGTTCAGGATTTCGACAGGTTGTCATAGCGTTCTTGTTTTCTTATGGTTATTTTAACGTCCGTATTGAACCTATCCAGTGGCTGTTCAGAGCGTCCGAACATCCGTTCACACAGTGCTCGAAGAGATGTGTTGCAGGAGACCAGGGTTTCGCCATGTTTCGCACCATTGCCTCTGATCATGCTTATGCGTTAAGACTAAATGATGCTCAACTTAAACAAGGATGAAAGGCTTAGCTTCACCAGATTCTAAGTTTTTGGCCGCGGGACTCTTCGGGCCTTCGGCTTCTGGTGCAGCTCCCAGAGCGCGGCTGTCAAGAGCAAAGGCCAGCAAGGCACGGCCAGAGAGCAAAGCGGGAGGAGCGTCTGCTTAGTCACTTATTGGAGCAGCCCTATGGTCCCCTGAGTCCCGAGGGCCCCACTTTGCAAAGTATCCATGCGTCACACGTCTGCAAACATTACACTGGAGCTAACTGTGCTAATTTTTTCCCCATGTTTCAAGAATCCCAATCGCCCCCCTCTCCCCAGTCCAAAAAGGGAGTGAGGGAATATACCTGGGTACCTCATAGGCCCCGCCTTGGCAAGAGCAGGGCTCCTCGCTCGAAGCTCTCAGAAGGCCCCCCCCAGATGTTTTTTCAAGTGAAGTCCCAGTCAGGTGAGCTTCGAATAAGCTTGGACTTGAAAGCTTGGACTAGGGACTTTGGGTTTCGGGGTTTTGGGGTTTTAATGGGACAACTAACCGTCATTGACACATTGAAGAAATGGCATGAATCTGCGACAAAGCTACACTACGCGATGAGTGATCCAGGCCTCTTTCGCTGCTTCGAGGAAGGGTTTCCCGCTGCCGATCGGCATCATCTAAGTGTTGTGTGGGCTCTTTGAGCAAAGCTTCTCCAAATCAGTAGATTGCTGTAAGAGGCTGCCGATTTTCTCGGACTGTGTAGGCGACAGAGGGAAATTGTGTGAATCGAAATCATTCGTGTGCTTGTCATGCTCATTCGCTTCCTTCCTGTTCACGGCAGTCTAAAGCACAGGGAGTGGCAAGCAAATCAACAAAAGCCGCTGACTCGACGAAGTTTCACGCTCTTTTGCATGGTTGCATCTATTTGACAGCCCTTGCCTTCTTAGCTTGCCGGCTTGTGCTGGAATCAGCAGTAGTCCTCGCCGTCGCGATCTAGGATAGCATGACGGGCACAAGCTCAGCAGATCCTTCACCAGTCAGTCATCGGCACTCATAGCGACACACACGCAGACATGCGCTGAAGACGCAAGTAAGGCTGCGTGAGTCTGAAGGCAAAACGCGCGGAACGCCTTTACTGTTGTCATGCGCGCCATCCATGCTTTCATTGGGCGCGTCTGAGTCTACTCATTCGACAACAAATTTTTGGGAGTTCGCAAGGCTCATGCTCATCCGTCGCATGGTCTTTCACAAGCACCTTCCAGCAAGAGTCAAGTGAGCACATCGAGCGAACGCGAGAAAACGAGCAAAGCGAGGAACGGCATATACTGCAACGATGACGCAAAAAAGCTCCCAAAGACTGAGTAGTTTAAAGCTTTGTAGTCGTACTTGTAGCATGTAAATGTGAAGGCCCAAACATCGAGAGCTGATGACGAAGCCTCAAACACTCGGTTTATGGACTTGGTGCTCAGTTGCTCAGTGCCTGACTTGGTCAGCTGACGGAGCTGGAAAAGACAGCAAGCAAGGCAGCTGGGCCGAGGCAGAGGAGACCTACCAGGTCAGCCCTCACAATGGCTCAGCTGCCTTGCACCCTTATTTTAACATTCCATTCCATGTTCAGACTCTTTCACCTGCGTGCTGGTCAGCGCAAGTCCCCTCACTAGCGTGCAGACCTGTACTGCAGCAAGTGGATGAAGTGCTAGTGCTAGACGGTGCTTCTAGTGCTTAGTCTGCAACTCGGCTGTCCTCGCGACAAGTCGAGAATGCCTGAATAGCTTTCGGCCATACATTTTGTATCAAGGATGCAATCCTCAGCATTATGCTTCTGATGCTCCTTACGACGTGATTGTGGGTGGGGGTGGCGTATCTGGCAGCCGCGGTGGTGAGAAGGTTCAAGCCTCAACCGCCTCCACAAAAGTGGAGAGATAGGGCTGATAGGGCTGAAGAAGGGACTGGGAACATTGCAACTCAGTCCCTGTAGGCGTGCCGTTGCAAATATCTGTAGCGGCTGCCTCAGGTGTCAGCTGAGAACTTAGCTGCTTGTGGGCATTAGAGTTGGCTTCCAAGATGAGCATGTCATCCATGTCCCTCCTTTCCTCAGACATCTTCCCTAAATATTCCTACATATTCCCATTCGGCACCCAGCCCAAGCGCAATCCACTCAGTTCAGCCCGAACCTCCCAATCAGTGCTCGCCCCATCTTGCCTCTATTTGCACCCAGTCCAGATGTGTCCTGTGTCCAAAAGCCGACGTTCCCAGTCCGAAACCTCGAAGAGACCAACCATCCCGCGCAGCACGTGCACACATTGCACCTGCAATCGCGCTGAGGTGACCTGGTTGGGCATGTCCTTGTGGTTTGTTCAGCATGTAAGGCCTTTGGGCGTTGAGGGTTTGAGATCTTGGCTGGAACCCTGCAAGAGGACAGAGCCCGGCTCCTGTACATGCTAGGCTCGGCGGACCTAAATTTCCTCGTTGCTGCAGAAAAGCGAATTGCAACCGCTGCTGAGACCTTGAATTGTAGTAACGCTAAGAGCAATGAGAAGCTCTGCAAGGAAAAGGCTGTTGTGTCAACACTCTGGCACTATGGGGTTCTCGTTAAGAGCATGGTCAAGGTTGCCGCGAGCGCACGGCACGTGCGGCCGGCTCCGCAGCAACCGCCTTTGGTAGGTTTGGCGCTCGAATTGGGTCCAAATCGCGCTCTCGCCAAGGCAGGATTTGGGGGTGGGCATCGCGTGTGAAAAATCTTGCTTTCGCCGGGGTCCCGTGCACGTTCCAGCCTCCGAATCGCACTCCCACATCGGTCCCATGCATTTTTCGAGGCATGGCTCGCTCCGGTGCAGGAACGTACCTTTCTGCCTCTCCGGCTCTTGGATGCCTTATGTCATGGTGCTCCTTAATTACGAGTCGAAAGTGTCGCTGCTTTGGGCTGTGTCTACTGCCGTCGTGGTTTTCACCGTTTGGGGTCTAGGCTCGTTTTTCAGGTAGCGGATGCATCACAGTGGGAAGCAGAAGCCCCTAGCACCCAGCACCTTGAGACTTGGGACCCGCACTCGGTGCCTAGGTTCTGGCACTGGGGGCGTCAGCTTCGCCAGCCCTAGGTGGGGCTCAGGGACACTCAGAAGGACTCCAAAGCCTTACAATTACACGTGAAGGAATGTTTTGGATTGATGGCAATGATCGGACACTCCAGATCTGAGCATGTTTGAACTTGAAACCCCCAAGCCCGCACAGGGAGCCTCTCACTTCCGCGCCGGAAGACCTGCCCAAGGCCACTGGTGGGTCG